GTTGTTTGTATTAAGCTGTTCTCTAATTTGAAAAAAAGGTTATCTAGTAATATGAGTTTTTTGATAGATAGGTTTATATGTATAATTTGCTTTAATGGTTTTTAGAAGCTGTATAAACAAAAGCTCGAGCAGATTTGTAACTAGTCATAATGATTTCTGGTGTAATGAAATTTTAGTGCTGAAAGTTAGATTGTAATAGTCAGTGGTGTAATGTTTTTGTAGAGAAAAGAAATATATTTAGTTAATGATTTAGTTAAAATTGGCCAAATTGATGTATCATTATTGATCTATTGATTGGATATGACAAGAGTCTTATAATGTTTGATTATTGCTTTATATGATCTGTTGGAGAGATTAGTGATATTGAGAATTTGTGTTGCTTGTTTGTCAAGAGCTGGCTAAGTTGTAAAAAGGTTAGAGTTGTTGGTGTAAGTTTGAAAGGAGGTTGTGGTGATTGAGGCTGTGTATTGGATACTATTTTTGAAAGAAGAGATGAAAAAGATTAGATTTTTGTATGAATCAGAAATGTCAGGATGGATATAGTGGATTGGAGTTGTTTTTAATGAATTCTCAGTGACCAATTCTTAGTGACTATTGTTGGAAAGTAGGTTAGTGTTTGTATTTGGGATGCCTAGAATGTGCTCAGTTTTATGACACAGTTTCTTTATACTTGTATGTTGTACAGTTTTTCTATCAGCTTATTGATGTCTGAATTTCTGCAATAACCAGAGTAGTACACTTCAGTATTTGGTAGGTTATCTGTCTAGATTATGAGTTTCCTTCTCTCTCAGAAGGAGTGAAGGTGTGTACTGCAATTAAGGTAATTAGGAGTTTTTGAAATTAAATATTTATTTCATTTAGATTAATTTTTTTTGACTAGGAGAAGGCAGTAAAAATATTCAGATATACTATGCCTCCTTCTATATTCAAAACATCTATAAAGAGATTCAGAATATTAGGGTGTCTTTATTCTATGTCTTGCAGAAGGTGCATTCTTAGCCAATTGTTGATGATAGCTGGCCACTACTGAAAATCAGATTGCATAAGTTTAGTTATTCATATATAGGCTTTGAGGTTGTTAAAGATGGTTTGTACTTTTATAAGTCTTTGAACAAACAGGCACCCTTGTGAGATTATTTAGCATGTCTATACAAGGGACCCTATGATTGATTGAAGTTTTTTACTAAAAAACTATTTTTTAACTAGCTATTAGTTTATCAAAATTACAAGTTTATCTTTTTATCAGGAGGTATTGAAGCCATTATAGCTTCTGTGTCTAAAGTTATATCCAAAAATGTAGTCTTTGTACTAGGGTTCTTCATTTTTCTTGTTTGTAGGGTATGTTGAGAGTATTAAGAATTCATATAAACTAATTGAGCTTATATGATCTGTCTGATGAAGAGATAAGAAGAAAGTCATCTACATAGTGAATTGTTACCAGAATGCTCTGTTGATTTGCTATCTATATGATTACATTAACAAAATGGCAAAAAATTTCTCCTGAAGCCTGGTTGCCAAAGGCTAGGACTTTGTCAAAGTAAATCTCATTTCCAATGCTGACTTCTTGTAGAATTTGGTTAATAAGTGAACTGAAAGAATTTGATAAGCATCTTTTATATCTAATTTAGACAAAGTATACCCTTTTCCAAAAAAATTAATCTAGCAAATCACATGGTTTATGTTTTCATATTTTGTAATAAATTCAAGCTTATCTATTCTATCATTTATACTGTTATCTGGTGGTAAAGAAAGGTGAGAAATGACATGATATGCTGTAGGGTTGATATGTTTCTCTTTAACAAGACACATGGGTTGGTCTAGAAAAATCAAGAATGAGTTGTCTTTATAGAAGAGCTCATATAACAGCTCTTTTTAAGTTCATTAGCAATATATGAAGCAAAAGCTTCAGAGGCAGTATTAATGAAGGGCAGGTTTTCTTAGATTAGCTTTGTTTGGTTATCTTTGAAGTTGAACTGAAAACTATATCATATTTTTAATTATATATTCAATAAAGGGAGATTGGAATGCATATCTGTAAGTATTCATAGAGCAATAGGTGATTAAATATTGAAATGTTGTAGATTAAGTTGTGTTAATAATTTCATTTTGATATCCATCATAGGAATTTTTGAGGGTGGAATTGTTTAAAGTATCTTATTTATAGATTGTAAAACTTAGCAACATCATGCTATAAACTCACAACTACAAATTCAATTTAGCACAACCTGATAGTTATGAAAGAAATAATAACATTTATAATACAAACCAACAAGCTACATTATCCAGCCAGGATACTCATATCATCAAGCACACAGCTCAATTTA